CCTCAAAAGCCAAATTCAGAGCCTCGTCAACTTCGGCTTCCAAAGTGGCCTGATTAGGTTGTTCAATGACTTCCTCGGCTGCTTGTTCTTTCGCTTGCTCTGAGTCAGAAGCTTCCAAACCAATCTGCCTGAGGTTTTTGAAGTTGGGAAAAATAAGAGCTGTGAGCTGTTGTTCGCCTCTCGGAATCGGAATATTGTCTGCAGCCGAAAAGGTTGCGCAAGTCGGCTCGTATCTAAGGAGTATATGAGCCGCCCTCCCTTGCGTCTGGAGGTTTGGACGGTCGAAGAACTGGTGTGCGATTTTGATTTCCACGAGCACGACGTCGTCGGCTGAAACAAGTACTTTCTTCAAATTGTTTCCTGCATACACAAAGCGATAAGTTCATGAAAGGTGAGCCGAGTAAATATATAGCAGATGCATGTATGAAACTATATGGCCACCTGGTTCACCTCTTTATCTAGGTACGGGATCTAGGCAATTTTTGCCCTCGCCAAACTCCCAGTTGCCTCGGACAACGACCATGACATCGTCAACTCGCTTGCCAGAGCTGGCAAGCATAGTCACCAAATGATGGTCGGTGTCCTTAGCCCTGAGAAAGTAACGCCTCTGCCGGCCAGAAGACATGGCCAAGGCATAACAATGCCGAATAGCAGGGATACCGAGATTGATCCTAAGGCGTCGATTCAACTCTACAATTACCATTACGATTCGGTAAAAATTTACATTAGGTTAGGAAGGGATTAGACCCCAATGGCGAAGGACGACCCTAAGAAATGAGTGAAGGGGGAAGCGGACTGTGCCCACAGCAATATATAGGAGAGGAAAGATGATTGTGCTCTCATCAGTCCTCTCCATATCAAGTGTGTGCTCTACCACGAATGATAGGTGGACGTCGTCGAGAATGGCAAAATGACGTCGAAAACCAGTGATTTGGTCCGCAGAAAGGAGGGCTTTCAAGTGTTTGGCCATCCTAGCCAGTTTAGGGAGTATGCTAAACTAAAAACAAACAAGGAAATGGGATTCAAAATGGGGGAAAAGAAACTTACAAGAAGTGGAGAAGGCAATGAGAAACGGGAGGAAGTTGCAGAGGTCGCGAAGTGACGGAGTTGTACTAGAAGGCGAACCAGAAACTTTTAGTATTCAAACATACATTCGAAGAGACAAAGTTTTAAATCACATTAAATGGAGGAAGCGTACAAAGGGCTGGAAATCGTAATGATGACCAAAAAGCATGTGCGTTCTGACACACGTTGGAATGAGGTTAACCGCCGAATTTTTGACTTTTCAAGTTCGAAACCAAACACGCCGACTAACTGGTGTTGGTGGGGTGTTTGGGGGGCAATTGTGGGAGCCAAATATCAGGGGACGCAGATAGGGCGAGTACATATTTAGAAAATCAGGCTATATATTATATTCGGCCCGTCTCGTACGTTCTAGATGTCGAGTATCCTAATCGGCGATAAAACCAGTTGAGTGAGAAGACGAGTGGAAATTAGAATACGACAAAAGGAGGGCCAAGTGAACAATCACACGACGGATTAAGAGTGGGCCCTACCCTGAGGACCAGGAGCGTATATAAATAGAGGAATAACAACCAAAGAAAGGTATGTGAGAAATAACCCCAAGAAACTTAAGACATAAGCAAACGTGAGACATATACTGACTTGTCCGTCGAAGTGCTAATTCTGGCACCCCTGATCGGAGTGTTAATCCCTTTTCAGGTGGCAATCAGAGGAAGAGGAACGTCCTTCAGGATCTAAGAGTATTTCCAAACCACATAACTACACGGTGGGATATTCGGGAGGACATCCGGGTGGACGACCGGTTTAAAGGGCTTTGGCCCAGTTTTGCTCCAGAAAATATAATAAAAAAACATGTAGAGAATGAACAGTGCCTTAACAAAGTTGTTGAGGTACTGTAGCAAATTTAACAAAAAGTTAATTCAGAAAAAATTTGTTGAGATTGATGGAGAGAGAATTTGATAATTTATTAGTTATATTTTAGCTTTTTGTTATTTTGATGATCCTGATGCGGATGCTCTAATTAGGTTAATTTCTTGGTAGACACAAAAAAAAAAAAAACAAACAAACAAACAAACAAACAAACAAACAAAACAAAAACAAAAAATTATCAAAAATGATAAATTTGAGTTAAGCTCAAATCTGATTCTTAGAAAATATTGAAAATATGCCGAAATAGAGTGCACTAAAAACTAACTTCCCCAAAACAAAGTTATTGCTAAAACAAAATTTTCTTAAAATGGAAAAATCATTGATTTTAGGATTTAAAAAAAAGAATTTGGTTAAAAACTCCACAGTGCATCATTGCTAATAATGAAAATGACTTTGATTTTAAACGTTATTTCCGATCAGACTAACACATTTGAAAGGATCTGAATTCGTCACAAAAAAATTAGTTTTACACTCAATTTGACTTCTTTGTGTATTGTCGGTCCAATTGTTTCAAGAATTATTTAGATACTTGTTCTACTGGGGTTAAAACTAAGGCATTAGATAAATCCAAGCGGCCACGTGAGGATATGTTTAAACGACTTAAATGATTATTAAAATTAATAAATTACTACTAAAGATAAACTAATCAACAATGAACACTCTAAATGTATTATTAGAGAAACTTGAACTTCACTGATGCACCACTAGAAAAATGAAAATCATAAATAATATCACACAATACATTAATGATAATGAATTATCTATCACACTGTGTAAAAGATAATACCATATGCACTTTTGAAACTACATTACAATGATTCATAATAAAATCATAATAGTTCATAACTTCTGTCAACACAATAATTTGTAATAGTTTAATGTTCATAACACACTACAAAAAAATTGACTTTTTGCGACGGCAAAATGCCATCGCAAATACTCGAAATGCCGTCTCAAAAGTTTTTTGCGACAACATATGACTTTTAGTGACGGCAAGTGGAGGGTCGCAACAAAGGGCGTTGCTAAAAGGTTTTAGTGACGGCACAATGCCGTCGCCTTTGTTTTGCGACGACAAAGTTGCCTTTTTGCGACGGAATTATGCCATCGCCATTAATATGTAAAAATCTAGGATTTTTTGAGACGACACTGTATTGTCGTTGCTAAAAGTGTTATCTGCGACGGCAAAATGCCGTCGCAAAAGTGTTTTGTTACGACGGGGTAACCTGCCACGTTTATTTAAGACAACATGACAACGCCGTCTCTAAAAGGTTATTTGCGATGGCAAATAATACCGTCGCGAAAGGCTTTTTTCCAACTTTTGCCAATATCTTTTGCGACAGCGTGGTGCCGTTTCAAAAAAATAAAATAAAATAAAATAAAATTAAAAATATGAAAATTACCAGTATTAAATGAAAAATAACTGAAAAATAAATCGATAATTACATAATAATATAAAAATTTCAGTATAAAAATAACAATTCATCCATAATAAAAATATTCTTCCATTCATAACAATACATCCGCAAAATTATCCCACTACATAATGTTGCATAATACATATACAATGTTTGAATACAATGTTGTTCATAATTCAAAATAACATAAATCAAAAATAAAGTTTTCGTCATGATTCTTCTGTGGGTCACAAAAACAAAATTTAATTACAATCTTCACACGCCTGCATTTCACAAGAAGCAAACTGCTACTGGAAAAATATCTGAAAACAAAAAATAAAAATAATTAATGACAATATAGTTATGTGTTAATATTTTAATTACAAAAAACATAAAAAATTAACTACTATATAATTACAAAGATAATTAAGTAAATAATTTTGGCTAGACAGAAATCCAGCTCTAACTCCCAAACCGGGAACCCGATTGGAGTCTCGTCTTCTCCCACAAGTCTCTCGTTCCTAGGCAGTCATGTGTGCCAAGTTTCGTGCCAAACCGACGCCGTTTGGTGATTTTGGGACGTCAACACATCGAATTCAAGTTTCTTTAAGAAACTAGTTTGCCTAGAGTGAAATCCGGCTCTAACTCCCAAACCAGGAATCAGATTGGAGTCCCGTCTTGTCCCACAAGCCTCTCGTTCTTAGGCGGTCATGTGTGCCAAGTTTCGTGCCAAATCGACGTCGTTTGGTGATTTTGGGGCGTCAACACCTCGAATTCAAGTTTCTTAAAGAACTAGTTTGCCTAGAGTGAAATCCAGCTCTAACTCCCAAACCGGGAACCCAATTGGAGTCCCATCTTCTCCCACAAGTCTCTCGTTCCTAGGCGGTCGTGTGTGCCAAGTTTTGTGCCAAACCAATGCCGTTTGGTGATTCTGGGGCGTCAACACCTCGAATTCAAATTTTTTAAGGAACTAGTTTGCCCAGACCAAAATCCGGCTCTAACTCCCAAATCAAGAACCCGATTCAAGTCCTGTCTTCTCCCACAAGTCTCTCGTGCCTAGACGGGTAGTGTGTGCCAAGTTTCGTGCCCAATCGACGCCGTTTGGTGATTTTGGGGCGTCAACACCTCGAATTCAGATTTCTTAAGGAACTAGTTTGCCTAGACCGAAATCCGGCTCTAACTCCTAAACCAGAAACCGATTTGAGCCCCGTCTTCTCCCACAAGTCTCTCATGCCTAGGCGGTCGTGTGTGCCAAGTTTCGTGCCAATCCGACCTCGTTTGGTGTTGTACATAACGCTTCAGTCCATTAATGCAAATATAATTGCTTGAGCAACCTCTTCATTACAGGAACCAACATATACCAAGCCCAATGAAATAGTAGTGAACACAATCACATCAAAAGGCACTTTGCTATCTCCAAGGATAGGAGTCAATTTACTATGGATCTGACAAACGATTTAGATTAGTCTGCTTTAACGGGAAATAAACATATCAAACAAAGAAAGTAGAGGAACAAGTCAAATGATGTTTTTGCATTCCACGGATACGAGACAATTAACTATGGAACTGAGAAAAATTATAAATTAATCAACATCAACTTTAATTAAACATGTACAAAGAGAAGGGAAGGTATCTTCCAATACTCATCAAATTTTATCTCTCCCTCTCTATTTGTGTGTATTATGTAACTTCTGTAATGAAATTAACAATCTATGGTAGAATAGATAGAATGATTCCACTGATGTGCCTCTTGAATCAGACATAGTATTGTTTCCATGGCCTACCAAGAAACCACCAATTAAAAATGCAAGGAACCTCACCTGCTCATTTAGGGCACCAGCAAAAGCAAGGCCTAGACCCATTATTGCACCAATTCTGACAGAAGAATCCTCTTTATCTATATAATCAGCATGAAGTGCCAATGCCTGAAAAAACCAAAATTTAGGATTTCCAAATACATAACAGTCACAGGACTTGTGTACAGAGAATGCCAAAGTTTAACTCATAGGATCACATTCATTCTTGATACCACAGTTCACAATACCAACTCCCAACAATGCACCGGCTATGACATGGCTGTCATTACTGTGGAAATACTTGTCAAGTTGGGCAAGTCTAGAATCAACATCCCAAAGCAGAATCATACCCTACAAGGAAAAATGGTGATAATCCAGCAATAAAGAAACTTGGACCAGCAAATAGACTGAAATGGGAGGGGAACATACCAGACTTGCTGCAGTACTGGCTTTTCCGTGTTCTTTATTCTTAAAGAGCCAGTTTCCTGAAGAACCACCACTTGAAGCCTCTGATGGGACTGTCATTAGCTTATCCTGCCACAATATAAGCAGCAAAAGTTACATGAAGGCATCCCTAAAATGTTTGCCTCCAAAATTTCTTACGCAAATGAACCACCCTTTTACCTGACCAAAGCCAACATTCACAAATGCATTAACAAATGTAGCTACCAAGTTTTGTCTGGCTGAATCAACACTTGCACCAGCACTAGCCCGGCCATCGAGCAAATGTGCCTAATTAAATCCAAGCAAGAATAGCAGGTTTGATGAAGAAACAATTAGGAATAGCACACATACAAACCCCTTTCAAACATGCAACAGTAATTATAACTATCAAGATAACAGGACAAATCAAGAGCTAGTGTGGATATCTAAGAAGTCCCAACCTTATAAATATCCTTAGGCGATTTGGGTTCCATGACCTCTATATGACGAGCAAGTGTAAGATAACCTTCACTTAACTTAGTATTGTTGATAATTTCTTGCAATGCCTCCCTTTCATCATCATTTGCAGCCATCTCTTCATCAAGCTCAAAAGCAATACCCTGTATGAAAGAAATCAATAACCAAACACTATCTGCAATCAATTAAAACGAAACATTAACTTGATGACTTGCAACAAGAGTAAAACAATGCAAGGACGAAGCTTCTAAAAAGTGCTCTGGTATGTTTCCATTTAGACGACAAATAAGTTCGTAATACAACACTTTAACTTCACAGATTTACGACTTGTACCAAACCTATCTATAAAATAACATCACGGTCGGCATCCAAACCAAGAAAGTAACAAGAAGAGAACAGCAGTATGACTAATTATTTCCAAGCAAGGGACAAGATTCCATACCGTACTAGGATATCAGGTCCAACAAGGAGGTCATAAAGGACATTAAAAGATACGTTACTACAACACATCATACTATAGCAATCAGGCTGAAATTTAATAACTGGAGAAAGATACCATTTATATTACCAAACTATAGTAGCTCATGGTATTTGGGAGAGGCAAATGTTGAGGAATGACCCCAGATACAACCAAGGAGAGAAAATCAAAATGAATACATGATTCATCAAGAAAAACTATGATTTCTACACATCTTGAACCCACTGCTACTTATAATATTGAAAAATGAAACAAGAAAAATGAGAATTATCAATAAGAAGTTAGAATAACAAGACTTACGTGTTGAGCAACTTCTTCCCTGTACCTACTCTTTTCCCAGCAAGAAGCAACCTATATGCCACAAGGGTGGAAACATATCCCCTCAAACAAATTGTTGCCTATGAGAAGGTATCTGGTGTTACGGAAACATCACGAACCCACATGATATTCTTTCAAGAATATGATTTAATCAATCCCAAATTGTATAAATTCCTTCTCATGGACCATTCAAACAAAGACATGTTTTTGTAACTATGTAAGAAGTGAAAACGGACATGAATCATCATGTACCACGAACAAAATCAGTATGTTAACATATGTCACCAATTATCAGCATACAGGGGAAGAAAAAAAAAATATATATATATATATATATCTGTGTGTGTGTGTGTGTGTGTGTGTGTGTGTGTGTGTGTGTGAGAGAGAGAGAGAGAGAGCATACTGACTGAGCTCGAGCGAGAGAGAGAGAGAGAGATTGTAATACGCCATCGCCGCACCACCGCTAGCCATCGTCGCTCATCGAGAGAGAGAGATCGTCGTCGCTTTGGGAACTCGAACTTGTCTCTGTGATTGTGATACACGAACTCGATTTAGGATTTTTGGGGATTTAGGGATTTTGGGGGTTTTGAGGGAGAATAGTGTTAGGGATTTTAGGGGTTTTGAGGGAGAAATGTGTTAGGGATTTTGGGAATTTTAGGGAATTTGATTGAGCGCCATTTCGGCTGAAGGAGTGAGATCGTCAATCAGACTATTTGCGACAGCATAGCAAAACCATCACAAATGATCAAATCCATTTATAAAATGACGCCGCTTTATTAAGGGTTTTTTTTTTTGTGACAGAGCATTCCCGTCACAAATATTCGCTATTTGCGACAGTAAATTTCACCCGTCTCAAAAAAATATTTTTTGCATACTTCCGTATCTAAGTGACTTTTTGTTCTGTGCTTATTAGCGACGGG